GCCTACTCCTCCGATCAGAGTGTTTTTAATGCTGCAGTTCCTTGACAGTATTGGGAAATGCCATCAGAGACCTAACAAAAAGAGAGATCTCTCGTGAGGCAGCTTTGATAGAATGGATGTTTTTTACTATTGACTTCAAAGGAAAGAAAGCATTGTTGTTTTTTTAAAGCACGCCTTTGGCATCAGTGCATGACACCCTCGCTCCAAAAGCTGAAAATACTTTCCAGGCTTCCACAACATTCCCCCGAGTCAGGCATGGAAACTTATTGTTTAGGTGAAGTTAACTCAAAAGCTTATAAGCTGCTGCACGCAGACCTATTTTCCCTGCAGATGCAGGATTGTCCCTTAGACTCATCTGTAGATGTAGCCCATAGAGATCTCATTACTCACCATGTACTACTAGACACATGCTCCCCACCGACCGCAGACAGCATAATACTTGCTATCTACTGAGAACAGAGATTCCACATTGGTCTCCTTAGCAGCAGAAGCAATAATACTAATCTGCCCAACAGGCCCCTTTCTCCTGTAATCGTAATAACCAGGTTGCTGCCCATGAAGCGTTAAAAGCATAGCCAAGCCTTCTGATAGAACTTTTCACGGGTTTATGACACGTCAAATCACCTGCGTCAGAGATGTGCAGTAAAAATAACAGGAAGTTCAGCTGGACCGCTATCTTTTGCATAATCTGTACAAAAATCTGTTTCATAGGTAAATTGCAATGGTTAGTTTGCGTGATGTATCGATTTGAACATAAGATCTGCACTGGAATGCTGGAATTGCCTAAAGATGCCTTTAGGCAAGTTACCTTCTCTATGTCTGAATTTCTCCATGTTTAATGCAGTACCTATAGTGTCTCACCCTCAGGGATTCAAAGGAAGGGACTACAAACAGCAAACTACAAACAGCACAGGTGCTGAACTTCACTGTGTACAATACAGCACCGAAATCATTGCATCGAGACTATTCCCAAACTGAATAGCTTGCATATATACAAGAAAAAAAGATTCTGCTTCAAAGTCTTAACTATCTAGGCAAGAACCCGATGTCACAGACAGGGCTAGAACCCACTCAGGAGGCATTTGTTTCTTTGAAATACATGAACTAGAGACATTAACAATGGCTATTATCACTGTCCAGCTCCCTTCATGGATACCACATACATTATGATACCAAATTTCTATAAACACTAACTGCATATGCAGAAATTACATTAAGATAAATATATTTATCTTGATCATGTCTGTAGAGGCCTGAAACATAGGCTCCCTGAGCACACATGCAAGCAGTGATGGGAACTTAATTTTCTACTCTTTATGAAGCCACAGAAGTGCAAGAGGGTAAACTAATAAGCCAAGTATGGATTTGTCCAAATCAAACAATTCTAGACAACTAAATGAGCAGCTCTATATTTACATTCGCAAGCAGAGGCTTAAACTGAGGATGCAATATCTGAAAATCAGCAGGGTTCTACCCACCAAAGTACTGGAAGAACTGAAAGACAGCAAAAGATGCAGCTATGGGAAACTTTTTTTTTTTTTTAAATAAAAAACATTTAAGCTTGCTAATTTTTGCTGTCTCAGACAATCAAAATTCCAATTGTCTGGGACATCAAATCTAAAAAAGCATGAAATTAATCTTCAGAAGTTAAAGTCTTAAAGGCATTGCATCATTATTTTTGTTGGATATATTTTTGATTATAATGCAGATGAACCCCAAATTTAATAAAACTAAAATAACATGAGTTAAGTATGAAACATAACAGGATATTGCAAAGAGATTAGGTAGTTTCCTTTAGACTACTTGCAGAGCCCAAGGAAAAACCAAACTGATGGACACAATGACGAGAAGGCACCGCTTAATTAGAAAATTTAACAGAATATGAAAACAGAATACTCATAGTACTGGTTTTGGCAATGAAACACAGAGAGCAGAATACGGACCCGAAACATCAGTAGTTCTCTACACCAGATACTGTTTTGCCTGTTGACTGTCTGTAGTAAAGAAAAAAGCAGGCTAGCTAAATTTAAACCAGCTGTAACGATGAGAGTGTTACAGTTGGACTGAAGGAAGCTTACCTCATGAAAGTATTGTGGAAACTGCTGTTGGAAAGATAATAAAAGGATTAACTGCCGTTTTAGTGAACCATTTACTTTTCAATCAAAATGTCTCATGTATTTCCTGTTCTCAAGTAGCTTGAATTCCAAAATTCCTTTGTCTATTACAGTACATAGTAGCAAAGCCTGTCATAAGAAATTAATAATTTTACATGGAAAAGTACTTTCATATATGAGGGTGGGGTGCTGCTCGCTGTTAGCTTCTCCCAAGCAGTTCCGTACCTAGTCAGCCAGTAATCGTACAGAGAGGAACAAAACCAAGGGCTTAAAAAGGAAGTACAATGGGTAATTGTGAACAGCGAAAGAAAATCTCCACTACAAATACCAAGAGATGTAAAGTTACTTTAACAGGCTACAGCAAAAATGAAACAAAATCTCAGACCTCTATAGACAGAGAATGAATCGCCTTCTTAATTTGCAGGAATAACAGCACAATTATTACCACATCAAAAGAAAAGCCATCATTTAAAATGACATGACATCACTGCATAATGAAACACTGCACAGCAACCCTTGTTTAAAGTGGAATGGAATTTGGTGGGCAAATAATCCCCACTTGATATTAATAACTGTAAGGAGCCCTGTTGCAGCTTTGGATCCTGTCCCTGCTAGATCAAGGCTTTCCAGGGTAGAAAACTAATTTTGCAAAGAAGACATATTTTTCATGTGTTCACTTGGATCCTGCTTTACTCTACATAGGATTACAGGCTGTAGCATTTAATATGTGGATACCTCTGCTGGCAGTGGAAGGCTCTTATTCTGGGAATAGAAGAGTTAACTGCAAGTTGTGCAATGCAAAGCTCCTAATTCTGATTGGGCCACTCCATGTATGGGAACAACTACAGTATCTGCTCAAATAAAACAGATCTTTATGCACTCGCATGCCAAGGCTATATACATGTGCCATGAAGGCTGTCTGCAATATCAGATGCAAAGGTTTTTCCAGCCTATTTACAATGTTAAACCTTGAGATGTTATCAAAAGCTGGTTCTTTCATGCAGATGAACATAACTGAAAGTAGGAAAATTTTACATTTGCTAAGATATTACATGATTTAACGTCTCTGGTTTATCCAGTTTCCTGTAGGGATGGGAATGTAACATTAGAAATCTGCTATTCAATACCTATCAGATATGCATTTTGCAGAAAAGGACAAAAGTTCCCTCACTCATGGAGTCTACTGAATCTTTCAGCATAATAGTAAAGTTAATCAGTGTTTCATGTTTATAAGTATTTCTTTTAAGAAGTGCAAGATAAAAGTGGGAAGAAGACCGGTATCGTTCAGGATGATGAAAACACTAAAACCAAAAAGTAGGCTAAAATAAAATCTGTAAGTATGCTTTCACATCTTACTTGTACTTTTATTTGGAAAGAAGCAACTAACTTGCATTATCCTTTGACGATTTATGACCAAATAAAAGATACGCATAGGAAGTTAAATTCCTTTGTACTTTTACAAATTGTGATTGAGCTACTTCTGGAAACAACCAAGTCGGTTCTTTCTCTTGAAGGAAAAAGAAACAGGTAAGTCTTAAGAGCATTGCCATTTTATCCTGGACAACTTGATAGTGTTCTCTAAATATCTGTATAGTTTCCAGTATTATTTTAGGGAATACCCACTGAACAGTGCAGACACTAAGATAACGTTTTTCATTTATCCAATGGAAGTAAAAAGACAGTCAGGATGATGACTTACAGAGAAAATTTTTCTTTGTAGATCATTATGAATACTGTTGTTTTCTTCCTTCTCCCTTCTATAACCATTGCAGGCAAGACTTTTCTTGAACAAGTGAAAAAAAGTTAAGCTTTTTATACAAACATTCTTTCCTATTCCTCCACAGAAAGCTACAGCTTGCCATGGAAAAGTTTTTCTTGATCTAACTTCCTTACAAGCATTTTCCATTATACCATTCTCTGATCAAAACAATAAAATGAGCATATGGTAGAAAATTCTGCCTATCAAGAACCACAACCTGCTGCCACAACCATTCCCTTTGTACTTATTTGTATGTGTGTGCATGTGTGTACGTGCATCCATGCACACGCATGCACATGTGGGCGTTACAAGTAAGACTTCCCAAATTTCATGGCCTACTTTGAAAGCTTATGTCAAACTTGCTTTGCTTCATCTGCCAGTGTCTTATATCATTGTTGTTTCAAACATGTGGAAAGCTTAATGGAAGTCATTAGCTTTTATTTTAGTTTGGCCATATTGTCATCATGATGGGCAGATGCAGAGATGGTGTTATTCCCAAGATCCTCTTTTTGGAACGCTGATGTTGTTTACATCTTCTTGATCAGAAGAGAACAATGGTTTTTACATATTTTTAAAGCTCTGTTTTGCAAATTTAAAAAGCCCCTAACAACCTTTGAAAATATAATTAAAGAGCCTCCTTTTATTCTTTCAACTGTTTAAAATACTGAACAAGTTTCTTTTTCTTTTCTAAACTACCATTTGAAACTTTTGGACTCACAACTCTATGGGTTATTGTTCAGCTGAAGGAATGAAAAGAATTTCATTAGATGTATTTTATGTTTCTTGATTAAAAATGTCACCCGAGGCTCAGTGACTTTGTTTTACGTTAACTGACTGCTGCGTGCTTTGATCAACACTTTATAAATGTTTTAATGAATATTAAAAAAAAATAAAGCACTGTATTAAAAGCTAAGCTCTCATATAAGGAAACTGAATCCCCTTTCCAAGAACTACAGTATTTCTTACTCAAACATTTCCTTCCAGATTAAGGCTTTCTCCAATTCCCCTTTAGCCTCCTACAAAGTTACAGGAAAGCACAACAATTATATTGGAATAAGACTGAACAGAAAGCAAGAAAGAGAGCAGAGTAGTATGTTTCTATTCAAACAAATATATTCCAGACTTACCATGCACTTGTTTGGTTTTTCTCCGGAATGAACTCTCATATGAATCAGCAGTTTGTAACGAGCATTGAAGGGTTTATATCGGCGGACACAACCTGCCCAGAAGCAAGTGAAGTCCTCTCCTTTCCGCTGGTCAATGTGAGTCTTTTCTATGTGTCTGACCAGTTCGTCTTGTTGGTCATAAGTGGCACTGCAGTCAATCCACTGACAGACCTGTTTGCCGTTGCTGAGGTCCTGTTCATCACCGTCGCTGGGCTGAAGGGACTTTGGAGACACAGAGGCGTGTAAGTGAGGCAGTGTCCCTTGAGCCTGGCTTAGTTGCTGGTGTAGATGATAAGGGGGAGGCAGCCCCTGATGATGTCGAAAAAGATCAGCAGTGGAGGAATAATCATCAGCCGGTTCTTGTTTTAAGAAACTCACCTTCTGGGTGCTGTGTGAGGTGTTTTGATGAGGAATACTAGTACCATTCATCATAAGGCTGAGGCTTCCATTCTCCTCGACTTGCTGCATTTGTATCTGCTCACAGTCACCTCTGTCACATTCAGCAGAAATAGGTACAAGACATGCTGGAGGGGAGGGAATACTGCAAGGGTTTCCAGCCTGAGAGCAAGACTGGGGCCGAGAGGATTTTTGAGCACTGTGATGACTGATCTCCACAGGATGAGAGGAAATGCCAGCTGAATTAGTTCGCAGTCCATTCACACAGGTAACCAGTGACGTCTGTGATGTGCGGATGATAGCTGTAATATCAATTCCTTCAGCTGAAGACGGCACAACAGAGATGCATCTCTTCTTCAGGTTGCTTGTTTGTAGCCTGGCTGAGTGCTGAGGGGTGCCAAGTGACAAAGGACCCAGGGAGGAGCTATGTTCATTATTAAACAAGTAGGATGAAAGTGAATTTGTAAAGCTATTATTCATTAGGTCTATTTCAGGATGCAGACTACTGGAGGCTCTCAGCTCCACTCCCTCCGTAATCCTCCTATGCGTGGAAGCCTCAGACAGAACCTTATAATCACTCGGGCATTCTTGTTTAATGTGCTGAGCCGGGTGACTTCCATTCAGGCATGGAGCAGCAGAATCTACTGAGTCTTGGAACCTGGGTGACCTGTAATACAGTTTTCGTTAAGCATCACTAACTACCACAGGATTTATGATTTTTGTACAAGACATAACACTTGTTAAGCCCTGGAGAATGCTGCACTTAAGCACTTGCTCTCTGCTGAATGACGCCTGTCTAACACAGCAGTTACACCAAAAAAAATCTGCAATGCATCCTCTACAACACTTGTAAAGGCAGCATCGTTTTACACAGGATTAATTTTACACACTGGGTTACGCATGGAACAGACAATCTCCCCTCCACTGCTACAGCCAGTTCATCAATCACAATCTAGGTTTTCAATGCATAATAGATTGGGCAAAACAATAGCTGAGAATGAAGTCTGAGAGCTTTGGGCATTTTTGAATCATTCAAATATCAGCATTTTCCTCAGAGAACACTGGGAAAATGCCTTGGCATTCTTGTTCACATGAATCAAAAAAAGGCTAGCTGAGCTTTGCTTGCATGTCAGAGACATGCTTTCCTTCACTAAATGAAAAAAGGAGCAAGATCAGTGAGGAAAAAAGGAATACAAAGAAAGAACTGCTCGCTTTCAACCAGTGGTCTGGAGTCAATGAGAGATCAGCCGACTATTTACTTCTAAGAGGTCTATAAAAGATAATGAAGGAAAGTTCACAACCAGCAGATTTAAATTGGCAGTCTAAGTATTCCCATTTCCATTTTTCCTATTAAAGTCTACATGGGTCTGCAAATCAAAAGAAGATTGTTCTGAAGAAGTGATTTTGAATCTTTTTTGATGTGTGCTGAATCCAACCACTCAGAAAGCACCACCTTGACTAACGCCACACAGACATTTCAGAAAAACACTGCATTTAGGAAACGTTTCCTCCTACCATTTTCTTCCAAGCAGTTAGCAATTGGTCTATGCCTTAAAATAAAACATTTTATGTCAGCTATAAACATTTACTGTGGATGATCCAACTGTGTGTTTTTTCTTAGATCAGCTGGTGCTCCTTATATACCCTTAAAGCATGGGAGGGTTTAACCTATGGCTTCATCATGGAGCCATGTGCCAGACTGAGAAAAGGAAACAGTACATCTGCGCGCAGGAAAGCTGTACCTGAACTAATAAACCCTCCAGAGAGGTGCTCCATGGTTCTTACGCTGACATGTTCCACTTAAATTAATTTTACGCTTTTTTAATGCTAGCACCACAAAAAGTGAAGAAACCCCAGCCATTTGACACCACAGCTAAGACAAATCTGACAGATTTTAAAGCATGGAATGCATATGTATAAGGTATTTTGGACATATACATACATTAAACTGCAAAGCTGCTGCATAAACTGCATTTATTTTATGACTTAGATTATGTTATCACTATTATTTCTGTTAATCCACCACTAACATTAAGATGGGAAGCTGGGATGACTTCTAACACTTCCTTGGTAATAGCTCTCAGAGAATTACCCATTAGAAAAAACAAAACAACAAGAAAAAGCTTCAAAAAGACCTCCTTCCCATGAAATTAAGGTGGTTAAAAAAAATGACACCTGTCTAAGGCACACAACTGCCAACACTGCATTTAATAGTGACAGGTTTCTAAGCTCCAACAGTTTGCAGCCAGTAGGGCTTGATGTAAAAAAACCTTTAAGGTCATAAGAGAAGTGAAATACCCCACCATTCATTGCTACAGAACAATCAGATCTTGCATTTGCTACCAGAAGTTTAAAAAGACTACATTTAAAAATTTTAGAGGTTTCCATAATCCATTAGTTATAATTTTTCCCTTTAGATTTCCACAGTTGGTCTCAGGGTAAACTTAAAGCACCTGGTTTTGCAGATGGTAAGTTAAAAAAAAAAAAAAACAAACCTAAAAAGAACCCCACAAAACAAAACGAAAACAAAACCAACAAACCAAACAGTATTCACACATTATTTTTTAACATTTACAGAACCATATGTCTGTAAAATGTGTGGCATAAGCATATGTAAAAAGCTTTTATTGCACATATTTGGGAAACCCTGCCCTGCCACTTGTAGCTTCATTGCTCAGTAGAAAGTGTGCTGTTTTACACTCATTCTGAGAAAGGTTTTACGGCATCCCGTGCCAGGCACAATATTTCCTATCCCTTAGCTTCTTCTGCACAAGAACTTCTAAATAATTCAGCTTGTATCATAGTTCAGTGGTCCCAAAGCCTCAGGCTAAAGTAAACACAACCCATTTCTTACATCATATAAAGCTAACGCAAGCCTTACGTTTCAGCCTGTGATAATTGGTGTCATATTATTAAGCTTTCTGTATACCTCCTATCTTGCCAGAAATCCATGTAAGCAGTTCAAGCTGCAGTCAGTGCAGTGTACCTGCAGGACGGATACAAACGTCCCTGTCCTGAGAAACATTAGGTTCCAAAACACGCAGCAACATTGATCTGCATTTCCAGCACAAGATCTTACTCAGCGTGAAGACTGTATTGCCATGATGCTGCAGTGCAGAATATTAGACACACAAAACAGGGGAGTTTTGAACAAAAAGGCAAGCTGGAACACCTTATTTTAAAAGCAAATGAGATAAAGACACTGAATTCATGCTCCCTATTGCCACATTCATGTCTTATCCATGCTCTGCCTACATAATGATAAGCACGGGCTGCTTGTGCAGATCAGAAGCAAGTCTTTCCTGGGAGCTACAGGTTCCTCTGTAGCACTGTATATTTTAATACATTATATACCCTGTGTTAGCTAACTGTGCTGGGAGAATCTGGCATTCTTTTAGTTTCCCAGTGTTTTGAGCATTGGGGTACTTAATTGTCAAGGTACTTAATGCAAACTTTCTGTATCCATGGCAGAATTTTGCCATCACTGTTCTAGGGAAAGCCCTGCTCATTCCTCCCAGTCCTGGGGATGGCGGGGCAGAAGGGGTACAGAAACAAAAGTGATAGGAAAGAGAGACAAGGTGTGCGGCACCCAACTTGCTGGGTGGCTCCTCTTATACCCATTGACTATTTGCTACCATAATGGCATCTTACCATTACAGCCAGGGATTAGATTCCAGGCGTGGTACACACTGGCAGCGCTGGCCATAATGATTTCATAATCTCTGGACAGTAGCGAAATATAAATGTGTATGAAACCAACAGCCAAGAGGAGAGTGAGAGGGACAAAGGATAGCAGGACCACGTGAAGAGCACTGTGTGGACACGCGGGTCAGCATGAGCAGCCCTGAGGGGCTTCCAGATTAGAAGGGAGTGGGGTCAGCAGAAGAATATAACCCACAAACCTCAGCATCCATGCACCACGGACAGACAAGTCTGAAGCAAGAGAATTGCTGCTTAAGCACATGAAAGCTCAGTGTAAGGCCTTCAAAGAGTAACAGCAGCCTCTCAGAGGATACTAAAGTAGCATTTCCAAAAAGACTCCCTTACATGGTAACTGGAGCCAGAGCTGGAGGCCAGTAGCACCATGCCAGAAGTACTGCTGTTCCCAACTGCCCTCAAAGGAAAAGACAACTATATCTGAAATCTCCAGATTATTTACAAAACATACTTGCCTTCAATTGCCACTGTACATGTGCACTCAGTGATAACTGACAGTTTTAAGAAGCTGGAGGGGATTGTTCTGCTGCACATCCAGGGACCCTTTGCAACACTATCTGACTACTCTGATGTCTTCCCTGGGTTTTATATGCCAAGCACTGAGCACAGTGTGGGCGGGTTTGCCGTGTCTGATAATGGATTATTTGACAAAAGGCCAACAGTAGCTGTGTGCTGACTCCAGTCATCGTAAAGAAGGTATTAGGACTTTTCCAGTCCCACACACAATGCATTCACAGATAGCACGTAGCAGCAATTATCTTGCACAACTTAAAAGCTATTAACTGAGTGGGGAAAAGGGGTCAGGAAAAAAGAGGGATCGTGATTCTTTGATTGAAGCAGTCATCCCTAGAATACAGCTTCTGAGAGAAAATGATTCAGGGAGAAGCTGAAGGGGATAACAAGTTCCAGCACACTGAGGGGAAAAAAGGACAAAGCCAATCATAACCCCAAATCCCGAGGGAGATTTCAGATTGCTAGGGGAGGTGCTCTCTGGTTTGTTTGAGTTTTCCTTGGACATTCCATATCCTAGAAATGCAGAGTTGTTCAAAGATCAACCCAGAGAGATTGTTTGAATTTGTATCTCCCTTTATTTCTGTGCTGGTCACTAGAGCTGGACAGAACAACCAAATACAGTTTGCCCTGACTTCTGTGTGCTCCAATATCTGTCCATTTCAGCCCTGTTTCTCTCATCTGTTTTCTAATGACAGCTGAAAGCTGGGGAAGCACAGAGCACCCTTAGCTCCCATTGACTTCACTGGAACCTGATGGGCATTCATGTCAGTTACGTTCTCCTGTTTTCAGATCTTCAGGGAAAGAACATGTTTTCTGTTACTTGCTTGTTGAGAACCTTGAGCATCGCAAACACCATGAACAGAAATTGTCCCAACTGCTATCCACCTTCTCTCACATGCCAAGGTTTTGGCTCTGTGCTATGTGTCTCATGAGTAGCATGGTGAAAAAAAAAAAAGTACATTGTGACTATGAGGTCCATAGAGCAGAGCTGGGCATTCGCTTTACCTTGCAAATACTGCGCAGACAAAAGCAGTATTAGCCAGGTGGACATACAAGCAGAGTGTGACCAGTGGGACACACAACAACCCATAAAGGAATGGAAGCATCCTATCAAGATACTCCCCAAACATTTCCAAACTGTTGCTTAGAAGAAGCAGAGCCTGAAGGCTTTAGACCATGCTACAAAGCAAAGGGGAGGGAGTCAGGCCTATCACCTGCTACTTTCTCATGTTATGCAGCAGACAATCCTTTATGTTGTTCTGGGAATCCTCTTCCAAATGGGGGCTGGAAGTGGTTCATATTTCTGAAGGTGGGTACTGTGATGCCCGGTATGCAGGTATCTGTCATTCCCTCATTACAGATTTTACAAAAAGGTTCAAAAAGATCTAAGCAGAGTACTCTCTTCCTCCTTTTGTTTGCTCCTGCCCTAGCTATCTTTGTTTGATAATTATCCTCACCAATAGAATAGAAAATGGTTGATAACTGCCAGTCCCACATTGAGCTGTAAAGAAACTAGGGGGGAGCAGACTTACACCCAGCTACAATGGCATCTACTAATCTTTGTAGTGATAGCAGAGTATTTGGTTATGTGGCATGGATATTATTTGTCCTTTTCAAACAAACAAACAAGCAAAAAGCTCCTTCCACTTGCCATATTGCTGTGCCTCCTCCTCCTGAAAACACAGATGTTCTTATCCCACCAGTAAAAGGAAAAGGGGAAACAAGACATAAATACGTATAATAAAATCAGAAACAGAGTTCCACGATGAAGCTATAGGCCATATTTCCTCTTGCTGTGACTATGGAAATTTGGGCTTGATAGTTCCATGCACAGAGTGCCAATTATTCTAAGTACCTAAGATAAAGACTCCAACTTTTTTGAGGTTTTTCTTTTCTACAGCTCTTCAAAAAGGTCACGATTACTCCGTATTATATCCCCTGCCAAAAAGCAGTGTAATTAAAATAGATGGACAGATTTTAATTTGTAGCAGGCTTCTATTCACAATGGATGTCTGTTTAGGGTACTTGTTTAAAATCTGGTAATGTTAAATTTGTAACAACAACAAAAAAATAATGGAGTTCTGTGTTTTCATATAATTAATTTATAGCAAATGTTTAAATAGATATTCTGTTCATAGCATATCCATCTACAGTGTATATATTAAAACCAGAGACCAGATTTTCACATTACAGCCTTAAAAGCAAATACCAAGGATGTGGCTATATGGGAACACTGAAAATACTTCATTAAAGGAAACACTGTAGAAATAAAAGTGGCATTGCTTCCTGTAGGTTTGACGGTGCCATGCCAAATTGCCATATGGGAGACATTGGTTTGTGAGTAAGTATCATCCCTGTCTTCCAGACTGCAATTTAGAAACAACATGGCATTGAGGTGGAGTGTGGAGGTACGGAGGAGGCAAGTCTGACCTGACTTAAGCCCCTACAAAACTCTCATTGACTTTTCAGCATGCTGGAAGAGCCCCTACAGAGAAGCTGTATTTAAACTTCAATTCAGGGGGCTGCAGCTGCATACACAGTGACTCCTCCTGGCACTGCCTTGGACAGCTGTCTGCACACACATGCACGTCCCTGCAGTGTGAACCTGCAGTGCCATTAAATCAGCATCCAAAGGAGTTTCAAAAATGAAGTAAAAGCCAAAAATACTCTTCCAAATGTAGCACCCACAGGTGCTACTGGGAAATAGTTCCAACAAAGAAGCACTCCAGAAGAGCAAAGTATATAAACCGATAAAATTTGCATTGATACCTTATATCCGAGTGTGTCAAGTTCAGCTGACCAACGTGAAGCAGTCTCTCACAGGACAGTGGGTGGTCTCGCACAAGTGAGTTTCCTGTGTGGATGAACAAACCTTGTCTGCAGACAGGTACTGTGCTGCTTGTCATATCCATGTCCATCACGTTCTTCTTCTCAGAGATCGAATTACAATGATTGTAGCCACCATTCACTGTCAAAAAAAAAAAAAAAATCGTAAGCCTTTGGCTAAGAACCTCTACATCAGCTACTACTTTGTATGCTCATTTTGGGTCTCCTTGCATAATTATAGTAAATGACACGGCAGTGGAAAAGAAAGGTTTCACAAGGAAGCAAAAATTAATTGCAAAAGAATTTGGATCTGTGAACTATGGTTGTTTATTTCTCATTTTAAGTTTTGTGGCTATTTTACACATCATAATCCAACTCAAAAACCCAGTCTGATAGCTTCCTTTCTTTCTGTGTATTTTCACATTAGAGTCTTGTCTGTGTTAGATTTTGAAGAGGGATGTTTCAGAGTCCATCTGAAAACAGTGACATAAGTCATGTTTTTCTTTGCAGACAATTATCTCTGTGACTATGACTTTAGATGGGCGTGTTTCTACTTTACTGTCAGGTCAACAGTGTGAAAAAAAGTAACTAATTTTGTTTCAATGTATACATTTAACTGTATTTTCCAAGTAAGCTATTATTATAAATGCTAATATTAATAATAATACATACTACTCTGGTGAATACTACATTTTACCAGACTTGGAAAAAGAGACCAGAGCTACAGCAATATTTTTCAGAAATATATATATATAACCACAAACGATAATCCACCTAAAAAGAGAGGACAAAGGGGGAAATGAGAATTCAAGATTGCATTGGTCAAACACTAGCAATTCCATTTAATTTAAAGCATATTAGCTGGGTTCACCTCTAGTGAACTAGTCAAATACTCATAGATAAGCATGGTTAAAACTATTTGTAAGAAATTTAGCCTTCAGAGGCTAGCTAAAAAGGTCACAATAGCCATTTACGATCATTTTCACTATGTACATTAATCATGCTTTTATAATACTAGATCTCCCTCTAATCTTTTTTTTTTTTAATGGAAACAAAATGTAATGGTGTCAGATACTAATGGCAAGCATATTTCTGCAGTTTTCATACAGAGCTGAGGAAGTAACTTCTTCACCCTTGTACCCAACGCTCATGGTGATGGGTACTATAGAGCTAGACTGCATTGTAGTTAGTCCTACTATTCTCTACGGAGGCACTGAGTGTCGCACACTGAAAAAGAAAACAAATTCCGCAGTCAAAGCAACAGAAAAGATAAAGCCTGTGCTCGGTTTCATGCAAATTACTGATTCTCACAAGCATCAAGGTTTGCCCTTTACTAAGGTGTTACAAGGCACAATTCATCTCACCATAGTTTTGCTGTCTCTGAGTTTTACTCAGAAAATGCCTACGCTGTTCAGCCATCTCAAAATTGGTGTCTAAGATGGGCTCATGCAACTTCAGGATGTGCTTTCCTCTTCCCCTTGACTTATAGAAGGTGCCTAAAGAAGTAACTTCTGAATAATTGACTTTTAGACAGCTGCAGTTGAGTGAAATGAATCCCTGTGAGTAGCCACAGGACTTACAAACATCCTCATCACAAATAACCCACTTTACACTGCTCTCAGGTCTGGTCCTTCTACGGAGCCCACATTGGGACTGCCACTGACAGAACAACCTCCACCATTTCAACAGTGTAACTTGTGGCATTATCCAGAGCAGGTATATATTGATACAGAATCAGAGAATGGTTTGGAATTGGTCTTGCTCCATCTTTCTTACAAGCCCCCCTTTAAGTACTGGAGGCTGCAATGAGGTCTTCCCAGAGCCTTCTCTTCTCCAGGCTGAACAACCCCAACTCTCTCAGCCTGTCCTCATAGGAGACGTGTTCCAGCCCTCTGACTATTTTCACAGCCCTCCTCTGGACCCGCTCAAACAGGTACAAGTCCTTCTTGTGGTGGGGGCCCTAGAGCTGAACACAGCACTGCAGGTGGAGTCTCACAAGTGTGGAGTAGAGGGGCAGAATCACCTCCCTCGACCTGCTGGTCCCACTTCTTTGATGCAGCTCAGGATGCAATCAGCTTTCTGAGCTGCAAGCACACATTGGCCCCAGCTATATCCAATTTTTCATCCACCAGTATTCCCAAGTCCTTCTCCGCAGGGCTGCTCTCAATCAATTCATCACTCAGCCTGTACAGAGTTTTACATCTGTGTTACATAGGCATTATACTACATAATTAAGCAGATATCACACTATCTAGTTAATTATATTTTCATGATATAAGGGTAAGTAAAATTGTACTCATGAAGTTTTGCAATTGCTGCAGTTTTATTATATCATTTATGAAGTTCAAATCACAGATTGTGCTCATTTTAGACAGTAACTGCTTCAGCACAGCTCCTCAGAGCAAAGGTACCCTTAACATACATGAACCCCCATTTCCTTTTATGGACAGCTGCTAATCCTATAGCAAACACAAGGCAAGTGGGAGAGCCTGAGCTGCTGCAGTCCTCTATAATTACAGCCACTGAATGCTTTGAAAATGATGAGAATCACGTTCAGGGTTTTGGTGAGTATAAATGAGAAGAAACAGGTGACTGGGGAAAACAGAAAAAGTCTCTGGTAACTGGAGAATTTGTGAAAGGGATCACAGCACAAAAGTCCATTCTCCTCCACTGGCTGGGCTCCACAGCCTCCCCATCATGCTCCACGGCACCATTGTAACAGGGAAGACCATGGCAGATGAAGATGTAGTCCAGGCAAGCATCCAGACCCATAGAAAAGAGTGGGTACATGTGACACCCAAATTACAAGTCTCATGAGGCGTTATTGTGACATTTCCAGAATAGAATTCCTTGTTTCCAGTGAAAAGTTTTCAGTGTTTGGCTGATACATTACATTTCTTGATCGTTTATTTATTTGATTTTTACTTTTTAAGAAGTTGGAATGTTTAAAATTGGAAAAACAATACCAGTTTTTTCCTAATGAGCTCCTTCACAATGTGATAAGTCTTAGGAAGTGTAGGCCAGCATTATTTTATATAAACAAAAAGCCCACGTAAGATTTTTAGGAATGATACATGAGATTTTAAAAAGAAACCAATTTGTATTTAAATTATATAAAATGGGCCATTAGCCTTCTTCACAGTAATTAATATGTATGTTCTAGGTATTTCAGATTTATATTCAGCGACCTGAATTCACTGATACCATGATGGTTCTGAATGACTCTGAAGAGACTAAGAAGCTGCACAGAAATGTAGCATCTTCTGGCCCGCACAGGGCACTCAGTTGTATTTGGTGGGTTTGGACCTAAGCATTTAAGATCATTTTGGATGCCTTTCAGTCTATAGTGGGTGTTTGTGACCATTAGCTCTGCCCTGCTTGTAATCATGACAAAAATTATCATTATATCATCCGGAGCCCACAGCTCCATTGAGCTTTATCCTAGTCCTATTCTGGCTTTATCCCATCATAAAACTTAACTCACTTCAGGGGTACTCAGCAAGACTGTATAATCAGACTTGTCGTTGTTAATTTGCATACACGAATCACATTTAAAGGGTATCTAAATACAGAGTTGAACACTGGTAAAATAAGTTCTATACACTTCTAAAGGCCACACCACCAAGAGAAGCTGATAAATCAGTCATACCTACAACACCCAACGCACAGTTCCTCACTTTTTCCATCACCAATGGTACCTGGAAGATGTATCTTCCCTTCAAAACACTGAGGATTCTTTTAAAATGTTCTGGATTTATACTGGACTCGTAATAAAAACATTTCCTTTCTTTCATTCCTCAAATGATACAAGTCTGAAATTCATTAGGGCTTCCTAAATATGCATTTTATCAATTTTATCATATTATCAAAACACAGAAACTCGAAGCTTCCACTCGAAGTTCAGCAATACCAACTGTAGCACACATTGATACCTATTTGTGTGAAGATGGAGATTTCCTAGAATAACATGAACACTATCCCCGCGCTGTCAAAAATTATTATCTTCTCTTGTAGCTGTCAAATCAGAAAATACATTTTCTCCCTGCAAAGGAACAGAAGACTCATGCTAAATCCGTGAAATTATGTGTGTTTCAGTCAATCTACCCTACATTTGCCTTCACAAAGTACCTTACAAAGTTATTAACAAGAGCTAAAAATGTCTTGCACAACAGTGCCTTGAGCAAAGTCACACTCGCATCAAAGCCCTCTGAAATGTGCCCACCACATGGGAGTTGGAACAATGATGAACAAGGAACAACACCAGTGGCTCACGTTTTTTTTCCCCCGCAGCAACTAGAACACAAACTGAGGGATTGTCTCCTAACACAGACAACCAGAGCCTACCTTCAACTGTCCAAGCACATGTGAAAGCAAATTCATTGCCTCTGAAAAAAAGAGAAAAAAGTCTGGTTTACACCAGTGTAACTGAGAACAGAATCTGGCCCTTTGACAACTGGCTGGCTTATACAATATTAATATCACTGGCTGGCATACACAAGATTTAAGCATTTTCCATGTCTGGAACTAGATCTCCTCTTTCACTGGTATCGAGGGGCCTTTAACCTACATACTGTAACTTACCAATAACAGATGAAAAGAGCACATACTCCCTGCCTTATACCAGAGGGTTCACCCTGCTTTCAGTAGAACTATAGCTATTTCATAAATCCATATAAAAAACTAATCCTAATTTACAGAGAGTAAATCTAATAAAAGCAGAATGGTTTCCAGGAGGATCTCATGGAAGTGGAACCCATCAAGGTAACTTTTGTCTTTCTCCTTTTCTGTCCTGCAGTTTTGATTTATATCTTCACTTTTAATTGCTCATGAAGGGAATGGAAGAAGTTGATGCAGTAGCATGCAAAGGCTGCAATCAGGCAATTCCTTCCACATGAGTAATCAAATTAGTTCAATTTTGGATATCTCGCTTCTTTCATTCTGGGGTAACTGACTTCAGTGGAGTTTTTTTCTTGATTTATGCCAGATTAAGTCATGTGAGAACTGGTCCCAATGATTGTGATGGGGCTACGCACCTCAGGAAGGACCACTCACACTGGTCAGGATCTCGCACAGTCAGCCCTACATTTCTTGCTAGAGCTAAATTCTTCTAGAGGAAAAGAGAGCACCTCCTCACACAGAGGG